TCATGATGATAAATTTTTTACTGGTAAACGCGAATTCCGGGCGTTTCTCGGCAATTGCTTAGTTTGATCAGTTGTTTTCGGTAGAGTTCTTCATCAATGATTTCACCCGCTTTAGAAGCTATTTATATAACACGCCCTTCTGACGCCACTAAATACAGATCATTACTTTATGGTCACGGATATTCGAGTTTGCCGTTGATTTGGTTGGTTGGCCATATTTCACATATGAAATTTTGCGTGCAGCCCTTTTAAATCGTGCAAGCCATTTTTAGCAAGTTCACTCAGCTAGAGCATGTTCACCAATATACTTATAACTATAGACCCAATACTCATATGTTTATTTTGACTATTGGGCTATTAACCCCTTCACATCTCGCTCTAAAGACCCATAACGTTTAGATTCAAAACAGAAGCAGGAAAGCAAATGCAGTTATAATGTTTAACGACGTCACCATTGCAAGTAACACATATACATATATATACCATATATCCGTCTCTACAGATGGCACATGTGCACTTAAACAATCAATAATTGTTAGCTAATCAAGTGGCTGCATTGTTTTGGCAAAACCTGTTATCGATCTATTATTAATAATTGAAAAATAAAGAAATTGAAACTGATTTTACTACCGCATTTTTAACAATAGTACAATATGAAGAATTGCACAGCACATATCGCGAGTTCGTCGCTTAAAACTTCTGTTTTCATGAAGGGGAGAAGAGCTCAAAGGCACTTTTCAATTACATATGCTCATTTAATGGATTTAATGCCACTCATATTATGCGGTAAGCTAATTTTTATTGAATATTATAAATAATTTTCACAATCTTTTGTAGTTGTAATCGTTTGTTGCGTCGTGTTGTTCTGAGACTTATCAAAATCACGCTTTGCATGGTATTACAAGCATAGACGCTCTCGTGCCGCTATTGTGTAATCGATGAATGGCGTGGAAAAAGTTTCACAGACAGAGTGTGACTGTTTCAAGTGCATATGTGTATGTATGTTTAAATACTCGTATTATCTATGTATGTATGTTTGTCTGACTGCAGTGGGTCTTGGTTGCACGTTGGTCGGCTGTGGCAGCCGCGGCAGCAACAGCTGTTGAACTTGGCTCAATTTCCAACGTTCCGCGAATAAATTATATAAATAAATTATATACATATGTATCTATGTTGTCGCTAATTTGCATTGAATTATAATTTGTGTACAAGTAGAAAACACAGTTTTGCACCCTTCATTGCATAAACATGAGCAGAGAGGGCGCTACAATCGGCTATTGTAATATTATTATTGAACTACCTAAAGCAAACCCAATGGGAACATCCCATTTTACAGTCTCATAATATATTGTAATATGAACTATTGTACATATGTTTGCATAGCCCAGTTCAAAAATTGGTATCATCCACTTTTCGGTAAAATATACTAACTCACAAGTCACCAGTCAGGTTTAAGCCAAATTTGAACTTTGCATTCTCAAAACGCCCACCTTGATCAGCTGCAAAATTAACTCTTATAATACATATCAGGCGAAAATGAAGTTAACGAAACACTATCGATGTTCCGATCTTTCTATCTTTCAAAAATATTAGAATTTGTGATTAAATCTTAACTTCAAAAAATTATCTTAAAATCAATGAATAAGTGGAAGAACGCAAAAATCTACTGGCAAAATTGTGATGTCTAATATCATTGACTCTGTTGAAAGAGGAAAAAACATCGACATCTACTAGTTTGTCGAATTAAATAGTAAAGTCAGTGTATCGCTCTCGATAGCAAGAGTAACGGAATCAAATTAAAAAAAAAAAGAAAAAAAATAAAACAAAAAAAAGCAAGTTAGGAAAGGCTAATTTCGAGAGTAGCCGAACTTTTTATACTTTTGCAATTTGCAAGGATCAAGGCCGACCAAAAACCTTCAGCGTTTGGCAATATAAGGTAAAGGTTCAACTTCGTTGTTCGCCGAAGTCTTGAAGGAAGTACAATCAAATTTGGTGTCATATTAACTTACTTTGAAGGTCATAGACTCCTGTAGTTTTATCACTTACCCATCAGCGAAAATTATATCGAAATCATTATCAAATGTGATATATATGAAATAAGTTCAAGCGAAGAGGCTAAATTTGATATATTGAGTTGATGTCAACCAAAGCATCGAAATTAATTAAACAATTAAAAAAAGAAGTTCATCCTCCTGATAGCTGGCAGCTACTAACGCTTTAAAAACAGTCTAGTTTGATATACTGGAATTTTTCATTATTTTGAATGAAAGTGAAAAGTGACAATGTGAAATAACGACCAATTCATTCATACATACATATACATATGTAGTAACATATAATCTGCGACTTATTTATTCCGAACGAAAGTCAATTTAAACGAACTATTTCCTTGACTTGATCGAGCGGTTAAAAACGTGGGCATACTTTTAGGCGATGATTAATGTGATCAAGTATTGATGATTAACCGATTTCGATTTTGAAATGAAGTCAATGTTATTATTCGGTTAACATAACAAGAGTAAAAACAAATATAAATTAAAATACATGTGAATATTCACTTATATATACTTTCTTTTTATTTGTGGTTTTGACGAAAATAATATTTGAAACGGTCTAAGCGAATACATAACCATTCCACACTACAATCGATGTCTGAGAGCATCAAGTTATTTGGCCATTTTTTGAACGAGGATACATAGGGGCGGCAAAGTGCTGTACTCTTCACATATAAAGAAATCAATACATACATATTTTATACAATATTCAATATTATGTTTTTTATTTGTATTTATATTTTTATTATAATTATATTTTACAGTGCAGAAAAACTACACCAGTATTATACATATGTAAATTTATATATGCTTGCCTACATATATGTTGATGTTGTTGGTATAATCGTATACCTTGTCATTCTTTCCATCTGCTTCGTGATTATATACGTATATGTGTATAGTTGTTTGTATATGTTTTATTTCTTATTTATTTATTTATTTTCTTTTTTGTGTTGGTGTGTCTGCTTATAATAATTATCATTTAGTTTTTAATATTTTTTTAATTTATCATATTTGTGGTTATACATAGTTTAAACGCTGTTTGCTGATATTCTTAAATATACTAGGTACATTTAAATGTTAATATACTTTCTGCAATAGTATTTTTATATTTTTAATTTAAATTAGTGAATACGCATCGATTTTCAGATTTTTGTTTTGGTAATAATTGATTTATATTAAGCACGTAAACCGTTAGCCTATTTCCTTTGAGTTTTAATTTGGTTTTGTCTTTCTGTGTTACTCTTTATTTCGTGTGTATATTTTATTTTGTTTTAATGGCATTAATTATTTTAAAACATTACTTTTCAAGTTATTGCAATTTAGTTATTTTACTTCATTTGTATATTTTATAACAATTTGTTACTATATTTTTGATTTTATTCTTTCGAATTCATTTAAATTTTTTTACTTTTGGTATAATATAAATTTATTTATTTTTCATAATTTTCAATGTATACATATTTACACATATTTGTATTATATTTATTTTCCGTGTTTATTGTTATTGGTTTTATTTAATTTTTAATATAAATTATTTAATTCATAAAGTTCTTTTTTTATCTATTATTGTAAAAGTTTAGATGTGTTGTCAGAAACCTAGCCTAATATAGTAAATTAATGTTTGCAGTTAGAAAAAATACAATTTTAGTAAGTAACAAATTATTATTATTACTGTACCAACTGACAACACCTAAACTTAATTTTTGATTCAAAGAAACGCCCCTAAAACCAGCAGACTAACGTTCATGTTTGTAACTAAAAGGCGTTTCAAGTAAAAGAAAAAACGTCCATGTTTGAGTTGCAATGCTTTATTTTTGATGTCTCTAGAAATGTTTAGAACGAAATTTAAAAATTGTTAAAACCAGGGTTGCAAATAATGCATTAAAAAATAATTAAACTAACGCTTTAATTATTTATTTATTTTATTTTTTGTAATTCTGAAAATTTTAATTAAAAATAGTTTTTACATTTTTAATCCCAATTACCGGGTTGAAAAAAAAAGTTTAACCTTACTTAAGGGATTGAAAAATAGAAAATTATAAAATAAATAAAATTCTCAAAATATTTTTATTTTAAATTTTTAAATCCAAATACCGGATTGGAAAATTAAAAAAAAAGTTTAATTCCAAACATATGGTATAATTAAAAATTAAAAAAATGACTTGTTTTAGAATTTACAATTTACCCAGAGCTTTTAACCAGAGCTCGCACAGAGCCATAATCTTCAATACTATAGATCACTGGTCAACAAACTTAAGACTTCCAAACAATTTATATGATTAAAAATAAAATGTTCAACTTTTACCCCCAAACATCTTCAATTTTTTAAATCTCTTGGAGCAAAAACTAAATTTTTAATTTCGATTTTGGGATTAAAAATTGAAAATCTAAATCTAAAACTAAAACTCGCAACCCTGGTTAAAACTAAAAATGTTAACTAATTTTATTTATTTCATTTTATAATTATTATATAATATTTTAAGTAAGCCCCTAACTTCGTAATGTTTTTGATCACATGGTAGTGAAATTTACTCTATGCCACTCCTCTTTGCATCTAAATGCCAGCGGTAAATATTTAGCATATTCGATTTAAAGCAGTTTCTAATTTTTAAACAAATTGAGATTTTACAGCTGCATTTGTGTGTATGTGTCAAAAAACAACAAATTCATCAAGCATCAAGTAGAACATTGAACGTGGAAGAGTTTAGCTAACTAACAAAGTGAGTGACATAACCTCTAACACCACCTTTACTTCCTCTCTTCTGCTTATTCTCTTTTTTTGAAATTGTGCAAAATTAACGCTCGTGAAACTGCAAACTTAAACACACGAATACTGACATTTACAAATTACAAATAGTCCATAAGTCCATGTCAATCAGTCGCAAACGGAAAGGTTTGCGACCTATTTCAATTCGATGTACACTGCAATAAATAAATATGCAATTAAATGAAGCCTATTAAATTGCGAAATAAGCTGTTACATTTATTTCAAAGCTCCTGCCAACATTTCAAGCTATACAAATATTGAATGGGAAGAAACTAGCGCATAATGAAGGAATCATAAGATATATAGTGATAGTGATATTTTGTTTTGCTTAATCTCCTGTTAGCTTAATACATAGTATATGCATAGAATTTTTGACTTACATAATATTAAATTAAATGTGTGTATATATGTCTACATATGTATATACAAATTTAAAAACTTACTGTTACAACAGTGTATTGAAACTTAAATGACTATGCTACGTATGCTCTTATAGCATACTTATACAAGTATTTAAAATTAATCATTAATATAATGCTTCACGGTAAGTGTTCTAATGCACACACACACATACATGTCTTACGAGTCAGCGCATAGCGTAAAACGAGAATCTCTATTCACTTCAAATATAAGCAACATTTTACATAATAGTAAACTTAACTACGCAATAGTAATTCACCAACTTATCACCAACCCTCTATGGAACCATAATATAACAATATTTTTGTTGACAACTGGGCGGTCAACACTTATCTACCGAAAAGCATAAATAGACTTTGTGCTTAATTATAAATATATGTACTAAACTAATAGAACGCTTTCCTTTTTCTCTAATCTAATTGCAATATGTTAGACATAAATGTAGTATATATCAAACGAAGTTGTTTACACTGCAACAACGCTAACACTCCCTTTACTCTATTCATATCGACTTAATGCTGATATATCTTTATAGTAGATCTACTAAAGCTTCACCTAAGGTAATGATAGTTGGCATTTTAGCAAAGCATACGGTGCTATAAATACATATGTACATGCACACAACAACACTTCAAGTATGCATTTGACGCACCCGAGTATGCCGCGTAATAATGCACCAGGGTTGTTGGTGATATTAGTCATGTGATCGTTAGCAATGTGCTTCACAACTGATGCGGCTGCCGCTGCTGATGCTGTTGCTCCAACTGTGTCTGCTGTTGTTGTGGTGGTTGCTGTCCGCCCATTGCAATGCTATTGCTTGTTACCGCGCCTTCAACACCTGGCATAGTTGCTGCTGTCGCTGCAGTCGTCATTTGTCCTGCTAATTCGTCTTGGGCAGTGTTGTTTGCGCACTGCTAAAACCACGAACGATTGATGTCATAAGGCTTGGGCATACCCAGAGAGGATGGCCGGTAAGCAGTTGGCGGCGGTGGCTGTCCATAACCAGCCGCACCAGCACCACGTCCTAATAGGCCTTGATTGAACATGAGGAAGTCCTCGCGCCGCAAATATGAGGAATATAACTGAGAATTGGGATCAGCTAATTGTGAGGCGCCTGTATTATGCATGAATGAGTAGGGTGTAGCACGTGGTGTTGTATGCGCTGTCAAAAATGGATATACACTCGCTGCCGATGCGCCTGAATTGAGCGCCGATTGCGCTTTTTCCGCAGCGCTAGCATCGCTGGTTGAATTGCGATGAGCCGGCGCCGGCGCAGTTGGCATATAGTATGGATTTGAGGCATCTCTGAATTGGTCCAGATAACTGCTGGCCGCAGCTGCGGCCGCTTGATCGCCGTACAAACCGAGAGTGCCGGGTGTGGGACCGAAATTGAAAGCGCTACCAGGCACCATGCCTGTGACTTCCGCTGCGGATGTCTTCAGCGAAATTGCCGTCGCTACATCAACGCCTCCTGCTGCGGAAACATTTGAGGCTGCTGACGCAGTTGCTGAGCTGTGCGCGGTTGAATTGCCCGTCGCAGCTGCCGCGGCCGCTGCAGCCGCTGCAGAATTGGAACTGCCAGTTGTGGCAAGCGGTGAACCAACGCCACCGGTTTTTAAGCCAGCGTATAGTGGAAAACCTTGTTGCAGTGCTTGCGCATGCGCTTGCAAATGCGCAGGCACTCCGCTTGAACTTTGGTGGGCGGGCTGTGCTGAAGCTACTGAGGTGGCGCTGGACAATTGCGACATGTGGGCTGCCGCTGTGTTATATTGTGATGCATGTAGGTGATTTTGCGTCATCTGTTGCTGGTGCTGTTGTTGTTGTTGTTGCTGCTGCTGCTGATGCTGCTGTTGTTGTTGCAATTGTTGTTGCTGTTGCTGGCGTTGTTGCAACTGTTGTTGTTGTTGTTGCTGTTGGAGTTTCGCAGCCGCTGTAGCTGCTGCTGCCGCCTCTGCGGCAATCGTTGACGCTTTCTTTTTGCGGCCACGCTTAGCTGGAGCCTGCACTACAGGAGCCACTGGCTTTGCAGCCTCTGCGACAGCAGTTGCATTCTGCTGTTGCTGATTAGAGGAATTATTACTGCAACTAGAATTGGTGTTCGGAACACCGACACCGTACGTATTGGACGCGGCAGCAGCAGCCGAAAGTTGCTGCGGGTTGCCGTACATACCACCGGCGCTCGCACTCATGGCCGCAATGGACGCAGGGTTAGAGTACAGCTGAGAAGTTGAGAGATTTTTCGCGCCTCCTGCTGCATTGTACATATGAGCTGCTGGTGGCATATTCTTGTCGTAAAAGCCAGCACTAGCAGAGGACAAGCCGAACAAACTCTCGGCCAAAGGATGCAACAGCGAGGCAGCCGGGTTGCTGTACGTCTGCGTTGGTGGTGGCGCAGGCGTCGGCTTGTTATATGCCGAAAGATGGTGCGTTAGGTGGTGGTTGGACATATTCAGCATGTTGCTGGCGTCAAGGGTTGTTCCGGCAACCGATGCTGTAGCGGTGGATGCAGTCGCTTTAACGGACAACTGTTGGTGCTGTGTATTTTGTTGCTGCTGTTGCTGTTGTTGTTGTTGTGGTTGTGATGCTTGCGATTGCTGCGTCTGTGCTGAATAACTCTGGTTTATTTGCTGTGCACGGCCTAATTGCTGCTGCTGCTGCTGCTGTAAACTGCTAGCACCATAATTTAACGGTTTATTTAGCAAACTGGCTGTTATACTCTCCATGCCTGACTTGGATAAATGTTGAGATTGTGTTTGCTGCTGTTGCGCATGCTGACTATGTTGCAACTGTTGATGGTGCTGACTCTGCTGTTGCTGTTGACCATGCTGCAGCTGATTGTGTGATTGTTGTTGTAATTGTTGAACCTGCTTTTGCTGTTGCAACTGCTGGTGGTGCTGCTGTTGCTGTTGCTGTTGGTTGGTGGCAGAATTGGTTTGCTGATGTGATGGCTGTTGCTGATGATGTTGCTGCTGTTGTTGCATTTGACAACTATTATCCTTTGCATAGTCCTTGGGAAACCCCATCGATGCTGCACGGTTATACATTTCGAACGCTTTGTCCGGCGTAATGCTGCCTAAATGCTTACCAAACGGCATGGCGCCCAAAAAGCTGTCGAACATTTGCTGTTGTTTGCTAATCTGTGTTGACAACTGTGGCGTTTGCTGTTGCAAGCCGGTATTGCTTTCACACTTTTGTATTTTGTTCGCTGTGCTGCTTCCACTGGTGCCGCTATAATCCATGCCAAGCATGTCTTCGGCTGTACGCTTGAGGGAAGTAGGGTTAGTGTTCGAATTCACTGCTGCAGTGGTTGGTGTCGCAGTTGAGACTTGAGTCGCAGAACTGGCGACCGTTGCCGTTGATATGGCGGTCATTGAGTTTTTATGTGCCTGAGCTTGTTGGTGCATGTGTTGCATAAATGCCACCATATCGTTGGCGGAGTTGTCGCCATAGCTGAGTGTGGCGTTTTGTCTCTTTTCAGTATCGGTCTTATCTGCAACGGGCATTTCTTTGTTGTTGCAAGCGGCCGCAGCGGCGGCTGCAGCAGCTGCCTTCGATTGATATTGAGCGTAAGTAGGATATTGCGGCTTTTGCGATGTTTGCTGCTGTTGCTGTTGCTGTTGCAGGGTTTGTGGTTGCTGCTGTTGCTGTTGCAGGGCTTGTGGTTGCTGCTGTTGCTGTTGTAGAGTTTGTGATTGCTGCTGCTGCTGCTGTTGTTGTTGTTGTTGTTGTTGTTGCTGCTGCTGCTGTTGATGATGCAATTGTTGTTGAGCATTCTGTTGTTTCTGCTGCTGCTGCTGATGCAGAAGCTGTTGTTGTTGCTGCTGATGTGGTTGTTGTTGCTGTTGCTGTTGCTGCATTGGATCCTGCAACTGTTGCACTCCTGCCATATTCCAATCCGCATGTTTTGCCCCATCTAAAATGGACGCAGCGGCAGTACTAAGAGCAGAGCCGTACAGAGCTCTCAAGTTGTCCGTCTGCTGCTGTTGTTGTTGCGGATGCTGCTGCTGTGGTATCATCGTCTGTGGCTGTGCCTGTGGCTGTGTTGTCGCCATAGCCGGTACATTATAAAGATCATGCGACGTTGGCACATAACTTGGCACCGCCGTTGCACTAGCAACATTGGAGCCGATGTTATTACCGTTATTATTACTATTGCTGCTTGCAACACTCGGTTTTACTGTTGGTACCGATGTAGCCACTGGCGTCACCTTAGCCACATCTGCATTTTGTGTTATTTGATTAAAGTTCAAAGACTCCGGAGTCCCGACGGGTGCCTGGTATGGTGAAGGACTCATACTGCTTTGGCTGTATGGTGAGAGCGCATTTGCATTTTGTTGCGTCTGTTGTGGTTGCTGCTGCTGTGTTTGCGTTGGCTGTGTTTGCGGCTGCGGCACTTGCGATTGATACGGCGAATTCATTGGTTGTTGGTAGGGCGAATGTGGCTGATCGGCCGGTGAATGTGCCAATGGTGTAGGCGGTTGTGTCGCCGCAGACGAAGCAGGAGAATCTACACTACTAGTCATGGGGCTATGCGGTTGCTGATGCAGAGGCGAATGGACCGAGGTAGCACCAACTGGTAATGCAGGTGTTGCATTGGATGATGTGTGTGCCGGGCTACTGTGTGTCGGTTGATGGAACGGTGAATGCTGTTGTTGATGATACGGTGAATTGGGATGGTGGTATGGTGATTGGTGCGACTGCGTGGTGTATGGTGAGCTTTGCGGCTGTTGATATGGTGAATTTGGATTGGGCGTACTTGGGCTCATCGATGAATTATAATCGGATTCTTGCGAACGAGGTTGCTTATACTGATCGTAGAGATTCGGCAGTGGTGAGGTGGATGAGTAAACAGGCGTTTTGGAAGCTTCAGAACCAGATGGATTGTAACTATTTGCGCCACCGTACGGTGATGTACCACTTAACTCCGGTGTTGACACATTTGGCGATGAAGCCGATGAGTATATATGTTGTGAGTATTGGGGATATGGTGAAGGCATTTCACGTGGGCTACAACTTTTATCAGGACTGCTTTTAGTAGTCGTGTCTTGATAGAAACCCGCCTTTATTGCGCCATTCAATGGATAGGGTGAGGTAGGCTTGGTAATTTCATCTGGTTTTGGTGAAACCATTATCGGTGATGCACCAATTGGTGAAGCTCCAATTGGCGAAGTGTAATTTGCACCCGCATAGGAGCCGTAACGTTCATCGATTGCTATACGCGGCGAGTCGGGATCCTGACTGAACGAAGAACGCTCGGATATGGTGCTACCAGTGCTGGCTTTACGCTGCCTTGGGGCCGATGGTAATGAAAAGTCGACACCACCCGTAATCGATGCCGCAGTAGGCGATCGGCTTGCAGCGGTGGCACCAGTCGACGATATTGACGCTGATGCAGCGCCATCATTCGACTTTGTCGAGCTAGAGCCAACACCTGCACTAGATGCCGATTCATTGGCGTCTGACTGTTGCTGTTGCTGTTTCTCTTCCTCCTCCGATTTCTTAGCTTTCTTTGGTACCCCAAATGCCTTTAACCAAGCACTTAAATTGGGCTTTTCCTTTGCGCCTGCAACGTTGGCAGAGTCCGCATTTGCAGCAGATTTATTTTCTAACAGTTTTTCAAACGGTTTAGTATAGTCGCTGCCAGACACTTCAACAGCCTTCTTTTCCGACTCCACCTCAGAAACAGCAGCAGCTGCTACTGGCACTTTTGGTGTAAAAGGCGAAATTATTTCAAGCGCAGAGGTGGTTTTGCTCGATTTCTCCTCAGCGTCTTTTTCTGTGTTATTCATTAATTTCGCCTCAGTTTTACTAGCCAACTCGTCGATGAAATTATGTGATTGCCCCAAGGCAAAATCATCGGTTTTTATAACCGTACCCAAGCTTAGTTTGGGCGCATTATCGCCAGTGTCTACAATCAGCGCATTTTTCACTTCTTTCGTTTTAGCCGCCACGGGACCCAAGGGGAAATGCTCGTCAGGTTTATTTATATTCTGCAAAAGATTACCTTTTGCTTTACCCGGTTGCAAACGTTCGATTGTGCGAAGTAAATCTTTGCGCCGCGGATTGGCAGCCGCCTGCAGCTTCTCTTTCAGCGATTTTCGCTTTGCTTCCTTAGCCAACTGGTTTTTAATGTGCGGCGGTGGTGGCGGATTCAGCAACAATTGCGTAGTGCTAGGTTCTTTGGGTTTCGGTGGCGCCAAGGCAGTCAAGGCTGGCGCACTTGTGGCGGGAGGTGGTGGTATCAGCAAAGTAGGTTGATTGGCAGCGGATGCAGATGCAATTGATGATATCGATGGTGCCGTAACAACTGAGTTATTGGATGAAGCATTTGCTGACGTGCTCCCAACTGAGTTGACAGACGTTACCGAATGTGGCGGTGTGCCACAACTCGAGCTTACACTGCTCGCTGTGCCGCCTACCGCGCTACTTGAGGTGCCCGTAGTTATTAACTCTGAGATCACTTCTTTCTTAAGGCCACCGGCAACAACAGCGTCACCATCGGCCACTAAATCAACTAGAACATCTGCTAGTTTAGTTGGGACTAAATCGATTTTAGGTGGCGCGATCGGTACTGGACGTCGAAAGTCGGCCGGTTCTAATTTGGCGGGTATTGCTGCATCGAACTCATCTAAATTGTAGCGTGAAGGTGAGTTGCTTGCAGAACTAAACTCCGAAAAACGTGGCGTATGCTCCAGCCAACGATTAATGTCTTTAAGCGTCTGCTCAGTTTCGACATCGAGTGCCTCAATGTTGGTCGAAGACGTCTTATTCGACACAGCGCTGCCGCTTGGTTTATTGTTAGCCTTTTTGTTGGCAGCAGCACTGGCGGCGGCCTTCTTTTGCAAAGCTTTTTTTGGCGGCACTGGCGCTACTGTCTTTTCAGCAAGTTTCTTTGGCGGATCTTCCTCTTGTACTACAGGAGCTGTTGGTTCTGGTTTAGGCTTGTCCTTTCGTTTTGCTGTCTGTTTATCCGGCGTTGCAACCGGTTTCTTTTCTATGCTTTTGACGCTCTTATTCGGAGAAACATTGTTCGTTGTAATATCTTTGCATTCTTCATCTGCAAGCTCGGTTTTCATAGGTGACTTCAATGCTTTGGAAGATGGTTTCTCATCAGTTTTCGTACTTTTCTCCTCATTTGGTGGGATTTTGATTTCATCAGCATCAGATACTTCTTTTACTTCCTTTACGCTTGTGTTCTTTTTGGCTTTTTTGTTGTTTTTGCGCGCCTTAGCGTTTTCTCCGTTGTTTTTGTCAGTCGCTTTTTCTATAGCTTTGGTTGCGTCCTTCCTCTTGGCAGCGCTTTCTTTCGAGCGACCTCGCCCAGTTTTCTGGCTTTCTTCAACTGTATTCTGTGCTGCGGTCTGTTGCAAATTATTCGCTCGACTACGACGGTATTTAATCAGCTCATATTTATCCAAGAAAGGCAACAACATCTCAAGCTCGGCTTGTTTTGCTGCCTCTTCCGCTGCCGCAGCATCAATTTCGGCATTCTTTTTACTAGCAATTGCCGTTCCAGTCTTACTTTGCGGCTCATCTTTTTTCGCATTACGTGGATTTTTCTTAGATGCGCGTTTTGTCTTGCGTTCCTCGCTGGAAGCACGCTCCGGAGTTGAGCTGCGACTCGACAAAGACTTAAAATCATCCTCTTCATCGTCACTAGCTGTATGCTTTTGATTACAATTTATTGCCGTTGTGCTGCCGGGTACCTTTTTGACTGTTGTCAGTAAATCGCAGAGATCATCGTTAAGTGCACTTTTGGAATATTTCTTATGCAGATCCACCTTAAACGGTGACATACTGCGCGAACGCGAGTCATCATCGTCGTCGATTACCTCCTCCTCCAATTCAGAAGCTGATGCAGCAAGCGCATCCACTGCTGGTGGTGGCATATCCTTATTCACATTGGATTTTTTCTTTAGGAGCTTCTCCGTTTCACTCTCGCTCCCACAGTCGCTTTCGGCTTGAGCCGATTTAGACTTTCCCTTCGACTTGCTGCTCTTGCTTTTACCCTTTTGGTGTTTGTTGGATGTGTGCTGCTTCTGATTTGATTTATTTGGTGTAGTTTTTTTCTTATGCCCAGCGATAGTACTAGATTTAGTATGCGATTTGCTCTCTTTGTTTGCCTTATTTTTGCTCTTTTTAGCAGCAGGATATTCAAAACTTTCATCATCGTCATCGGCGTCATCTTCGGTTTCCGGCTCAGGCTCCACATCCGATACTCTTTCAAGCTCCGGCTGCGGTTCCGGTTTCGGCTCCGGCTCCAATACCGCCTCTAGCTCTTCGTCCTCGGACATAGCCGAATCTTCAGAGTTATAACTTCTGGATTTACTGCCTTTTTTGCTTTGCTTCTTTGATTTTCCACTCTCACTTTTTCCTTTTGAAGACTTATTTGATGACTTGGAGAGTTTTTCGCTTTTATTTTTCTTGCCTTTTTTCGATGAATCTTTTGTTTGTTTATTTTTACTCTTTCTTGTGCTCTGTTCATTTTCCAAATCTTCATGAAAATCTTCATTAACCACAGTCTCCTCCATTTCGAAGTCATCTTCATCATCTGTGCCATGTTTTTCCGCCATTGCTGTCTTGCTTTTCGATTTCTTCTTACGTCTTTTATCCTTTTCTTTACGCTTTCGCTTGGTGCCACGTTGCTCTGGAGCACCACTATTTCCTTCATCAAAGTCTTCGTCCGCACTATCGGCATATTTGTCCTTATTCAACGGTATTACGGATTCATGCAACTGAGAATGTGCATGCTTTTTGTTGCTTTTCTTTTTCTGTGTAATTTTATCCACAGCATTCTTCTCCGCATCCGTTGTTATACTTTGACTGTCGCTACTAGCATCTTTTGAAGACTTTTTATTGAAGTATTTCTCACGGAAGACATTCATTTTGGAATCTGCTGCCGGATAACCCAAACTAGGATCGTCCTCCTCATCGTCTGACAAATTATCAAAGTATTTCTTAGTGGCCTTGTCGAAGGCCTCTTGCAAGTTATTTACCATTTCGGTGTATTCTAGAAGACAAATTTTATAATTTAAGTTCCTTCAGCGCTACTTATATACTAACCATTGTTATGTCCATTGTAGAGGCGACAGTTGTTCACAATCAATTTAAAATCATTGCGAAAGTCACTAAATTTATTGTATTTACCACTGTCCAGTTTATCCTCCATCTTTAGGAGATCCATTGGTCTGTACGAAAAACGAAGACAAAATTATCAGAGATCAAAATCAAGTCCATAACGGAATTAGGAAATTTGGCATAGATTATTATCCAAGGCATCGCTAAAATCTCCGCAGATATTGTTAAGATCGTACCACTACAGTGTATAGCTGTCATTTGAACTGACTAATAAAAAAAAAAACAAGTAGGGAAGTGCTGAATTCGGGCGTTACCGAACTTTTTATACTCTTGCAACTTGCAAGGATCAAAGCTGACTAAATACCTTCAGGTTTTGGCAATATTAAAAAATGTAGCGAAAAGGTTCAACTTCGTTGTTCGACGAAATCGTGAAGGGACTACAATCAAATTATTCATATTAACTTATTTTGAAAGTCATCGACCCACTTAGTATTATTACTTTATTTTACTTCCCGCCAGCGAAAGATATATATGTGATATAAACTTAACCGAAGAGGCTAAATTTAATATTATATATGGAGTTCATGTGAAACACGTCAACTAAAATATTGGAGTTCATTATATTAGACATAATAAAATTTTATTAATTTTAAGAAAACGTGTTCACTTAATTTCATTAAAATATCGGGTGGAAACGAAAATCATTAGATAGGATTGTATAAATCGGATGACTATAGCATATAGCTGCCATATTAACTGAACAATCGGAGTAAAGTGCTTGTATGGGGAAACTCTTTCATTTGACGAGGTATTTTTACGAAATTAGATCGGAATCAAGTTCTTGTAAGGAGCTTCGGTGCAACGGAAGTTTACATTTTTTCTTGTTTTTGTTTTTATTTTTATTAAATTTATTTACAAATATTTCTGGTTATGGTAACCTTAGTTCATATACCAGAAGAGGAAAAGGTTAAAGGGATTTCGCACAAAAAAAGCAACAGGACGAAACTGTGTAACCGCTATTTCTATAATTTTTCGTACGCAAGATGTTGTTTTTATTGTTTATTCTTTGAAAATAAACGCGAAACCGTTCAGGTTCGAATACCCGACTGGCTGCAGAATAAATAAATAAAAATAATGATATTTACAAACTCACCTTCGTATAATGGAATAATATCGTGGCGCTATGTCCTCCTCAACGGGATCCATAAAGGGCCAGGCATCGCGGTGGTTCTTCACATAGACGAGCACTTTGTGCATACCGATTTGTAGTACTTCTTCCGTTTCGGTGAAACTGAGAAAATTCGTATTCGTGGAATTTTTGGAAGCATAATTAAAGGCGTTCAACGAGGTTGATGTCAATTGATTGGTGGCACAGGAATGCATATGGAAATGGGAAGCGTGCGTTTGGTGCGTATATTGTTGATGATACCGGTTATGATTATGGTTATAGTTATGGTTTGGGATGTGATGGTGATTGTGATTGTGATTATGATTATGATTTTGGTGATGATGTTGATGGTGATGGTAATTGACAGATGAATTGGAGCAATTATTGGATTGGGAGGTTAAAAAATTTTGATTAGTAGATTTGTGAGAGCTTTGGTTTTGATTGTTAGCATGTTTCAAATAGCATTTAGTCACGGCTGTCGCCGTTGTATTGGCGCCTGACGAGGACGTTGACACAAATGTTTTTGCTGCTGTTGCTGTTGTTGTGACTACGGCTGCTTCTGCACCATGCGACGCATTTCTAAACACAGTCGAGGCGGTATGATTTGAAGTGATTTTGGTACTTGAGGTTGTGGTGGTAGTGACGGTTGCTGAGGTTATGTTTTTGGTGTTTGAGGTGGTTGTGGTAGTGGTGGTGCGATTTTTACTAAATACATTTCTACAATTTACAATTTTTTGTGTACAAAACCATATATGATGTTTGTAGTGGTTGTTGTTTACATTTGCGGTTGCGATGATGATAATGATGAAATCGGAGAATAATTAAGATGGTAATACATAATTCATTATGAATTATATATACATACATATGTACATATATTTAAGTATGTAAGTAATTAAGTTGGATGTTCCAATACATGATTGATATATTCACAAATTATTTACAAATCAGCGAGAAGAAAATTTTCAAATACGCATTTGTGTGCGTTTGTATGTGTGTGCAAGGATAATGTGTGATGTATGTTTGAATGTAGTACAAAATGAAAGAGAGTATAAGCAAAAGAAAAGGGAAATGAATTGTTAAATATTTACAATATTAACTAGTTTGGTTTTGGAGAGCAAGAAGAGGCTAGCTTTTTCACAAACTACATGGAAATGATAATGAGAAAAGAAGAAGCATGCGCAAAAGGCTTCAATAAATTAGGTGGTTTAGAAAATTGGACGAAAATAATAACAAACAACATGACTAACATACATACATAAGCTGTCTTCGATTGCTCATTTCTCCGCTCTCTTGTCAAAAAATGTACATGTGAAAGCAACAACAAAGTTATCGAGTTGCAAGTTTTTTTTGCATATTTTAGCTTTCTTTTTTTTTGTATTTTTAAAACATAAAATTTAAAATCAATTATAATAATTCATAGAAAACCAAAAATAAATGGCTGCAGCAACATTTTTTATCGCGAAAGAAAGAATTTCTCCACTAAGAAAGAATGATAACACGATTGCGCATGTGTGCGCAGGGTTGCACGACAAATGCTGCCCGTTTGTTTGAGCATCTGGAATAGTTTGTTCGATTCGCTGGAGAGTAATGCTTTGCGTATCGAAGACAGCTAGAGATACAAATGAAGAAAATATTTACATACATACGCACAATAAGCTATTATGCCAGCAACCTGTGTCACCAATGTTTTCACCGATAAGCTGTCACATCTAAATTTATGAGTCAAAGCATGTAGCACATATGAGTAATTAATTGTGGAATTATGCGGATTAAAGAGAGTATGCAAAAATGTTGATTAATTTAAAAACCCGATTTATCCAAGCGAGAACCCTGCTGTGATGCAGGTGAACTTTCTCAATTCATTCATTCTTTGCATTTAAAATGTCATTTTGACCGGATTTGCTCACATTTGGATTATTTATGATTATTACGCAGATTTTGGCAGAAATTAACATTCTTATCAAGCCTTGAATATAAGATTATAAGTTTTTAAGTTTTAACTTAATTTCAACAGGAAAAATTTGAACACATAAAACGTGTTTGTAACGTACGGCCACCAAAAGTTGCTGTTTTAAGGCATGCTGCCGAGTTGACAGTCCCTGACCTAATAAAATTCCGATTTGTTACGATAACGTAGCCCAACTGTCGTGAGAACGGTCTCAACAAGATTATTAATTATTACGCACACTCAAGCATACTCTCTAAAATAACCGAGCATAACTCTTCACAGAATTGTTTTTTTTTTTTTTTTGAAACATGAATCTGCACAAAACAAGCAACAGCAAGAGAATGCATAAACAATTTTTGTGTTTTTTGTCACACACAACAAAATAAAATTCAAACTTTAGTGTGAAAAAGTGAGTAAGAAGCTTATTAAAGAACTTTTATTAAGTACATTTGAGACACTTACTCATCGGCGCTTTTATCCGAGTTCTGTGAGGATGACTGCGTACTAACAGCCGTTGTTGTTGTTCCCGCTACCGCCGACGCAGCTGCTGCAGCTGCAGCTGCCGCCACTTTTTTCTTATGTCCACCACCGCCACTGCCTTGATTCTTCTCCGCAGTGACACTGGCATCAGAGGATGCATTCGACCCCGATGACGGCCCACTGTGTCTATGATGCTTCTTATGACCCGCACTGCTCCCTGATCCCGACGATGACTTTGCCTTGCTTTCTGCGCGTTCCGATGTTGCAACTGGTGTCGCGTCTTCGCGCAAAGCAGGCGGTATGAATATGTTACCGGTCAACGATGAGAGTGAATTGTTGGTTTGTCTGCCGGGCAATTTCATATTGCTAGTTGGTGCCATATCATGTACAATTCCTACGCCGACCTCTTTCTTTACGATGGTTGTTGTTATGTGCTGCGTGCCAGTGCCTACGGCGCCTGTGGTATCACCCAATGCGTCAACAGCGCCCGCAGCAGAAAGTTCATGTAATTCACCAGTCGCGGCTGCCTCACCAGTAAATTGTCGGCAGAAGTTCTCCTTATCCTCGGGACTCAGGGAAGGTGTATGCGTAAGGACGTGGTTGCTGGTGTGCTGACCGTTGCTGTGGCTTTGCGTCTGCGACCGCGTTTGCTGATTTTTGCTATTGTGACTGCTGCGTGTTTTGGCAGATTTGTTGTTGCTATTGCTGCTTTGACTATTAGTATTACTATTGCTGCTGCTGTTGCTACTGGTGCTACCACTCTGTTTTGGTGTTTTGTCTACTGCTACGACCTCTGGTATGTCTTTTGTTATTGCACGAGCAGGTTCAGTGTTGTAAGCATCAATGTTGTTACCACTGGTGCCATGCTTGCGACGACGTCGATGCTCGCGAGATTTCTTTTTCTGCTTCTTTTGCGACTTCTTCTTCTTGTGGTGCGACTTTTTCACTTTCGCAGGTGCTAGCTGAGCCGATGGAGTGAATTGTGTGTCGTCTAACGGTCGCTGTACCGTTAGCTGCAACTGATCACAGCTTAGTGGAAAGTGGTGCTCAGTTTCTGCTTTCTGCAGAGCGGAAGCGGAGGCGTTGGTGTATGCTGCTACAACATGAGAATTCACCACATATTCCCTTTCATCAGCCGAACCGTCTTGTGGCTCAATTTTGATGTTTTGTAAAAGCAACTGTTGGCTTGGCAAACAGTGATCATGTGTAAGCGAATAATCTTTTGGAACTGAATCAGTTGTGTTTACAGCACCGTCGGTTGCACAATCAACAGTTGTGTTATGATTGGCCTCCAGCTGCTGCACACTATAGCAATCCTCCGTTTGGTGCTCTTTTCCGTTTTCGTTTTCGTTCTCGTTATTATTGTCGACTTCTTCCTCTTCGCCCTCCGGTGTTAGACAAAAGGTTTCACGATGACAGAGAAACTCGCTAGAGTTTGTGGTGGCTGTGCGGCGTAAGGAGCTGGCGTATGTGGAGATGCCGCTGGCTGTCGATGTGGATTGGGAGCTGCAAGGAAAAACATTTTTTCTAATTAATACGCTTAAATATACGTTTTTTAATTTTATTAAACTCGATGCAAATGACAGCGATGGCATTTATTGATTTTAATCGATATGTTGTGTAAGAATTATGTATGAATTTGCTTGTTTTGCAAAAGGCCAAAGCAATATAAAGAAATAGGATACAAGTAGCGGCAAACATAACTGAAAGATGCAATAAACGGAAGTGTTTCAAGAGTTTTTTTGAACACAGTAAATGTGAAATTGATATACGAATAACGGTACACCATAATTTATTAAGAAAAATGTTTCCTCAGGCTACCAATTGGGTCATCGTTTTAAAAAAATTAAAAGACTTGAAGCGATCATTTCACACAAAGCGATTACTGCAGTTATTTATATGAAATAAAATTTAAAAAAAATCTTCATATGTAAGAGTTCTGTATTCAAAATGCTAATTTTTGTTCAGCCTTATTAAAAAAAAAAATCCAATAGACAAAACGTGTAAGTTATTACCCTCTTTTGAAAAAGCACTGTAGCGTTCAGGTTTGCGTTTTTTTAAATTCAAACATTTTTGGTAAAAAATGAAAGTTTAAATTTTTAATTAAATATCTTATTTTTAGTCCCCCAATCCGAATTAAAATTTAACTAAAATAAAAAAAACATTTCGATTCTGGTTTTTTTTTAATAAAAATTTTTTTTTTTTTTAATTTGAATAGTTAAAATTAAAAATTTAATTTTTAATCCATTTTGACAAAACGTGTAAGTTTTTACCCTCTTTTGAAAAACCACTGTAGCGTTCAGGTTTGCGAACAATTTTTAATTCAAACATTTTTGATGAAACATTAAAGTTTAAATTTTTTATTAAAGATCTAATTTTTAAGCCCACAATCGGAATTAAAAATTGAACATTAAATAAAAAAAAAACATTTTGATTCTGATTTTTTTTAATAAAAATTAATTTTAAAAATTTAATTTTTAATCCTTTTTTGAGTTTGTCGACCTCCTGTGCTCTAGAGTATTGCTTTAAATTTTTTTTCTAATTTTTACATCGGTATCTTTTATTTTTTATATTATTATTTTTTTTTTTTATTTGAGATTAAAAATTTAAAAATTAAGTTAATTAAAGTTTTCGGGTTAACAAAATAAACACAATTTTAATTAAAATGGTAGCGTTGGATATTTTTATATTTGAAATTTTGAATACGACTGTTCACACTTATGCTCGAATAATACCGTTTACTTTTTATTGAATTCGAACTTCACGATGGTTGTGTACCAAAATGGGTATAGCAAAAGTCGTCGGTCTTAATGTGTTTAAATAAAGTTCGCAACACAAATCGAGATGAAGCTTATATCTTAATAAATAACTTAACTAAATGTAAATGTAACACATGAGTAAATAAATAATTATTAAAAACTGAATTAAATGCTAGAAATTTAAGACAAAAAAGCATGCTTACATAGTTTTTTTTAAATTCTTTTATTAAATTTGTATAAATTGCTTTCGTTTAGTTGAGTAACGAAACCAAACGTAAGTTAAGTCCAATTTTGTTGTGATTACCACAATAACCGAAATAAATGCAAATAAATGGCTGTCGAAGTCGCTAAATTTTACATGTTCCGCTGCTGCAAACTGTTGTTATTGCCACGGACGCCTCGTAACAAGTTACTTTGGTTTTGAGTTTTTTATGCTTAATGTTGTTGTTTTAGTTTTTCAATGTTATGACGATTTCCTCTTTCATAGTCTCATAGAACAGGCGCCAGCGCTACACTATTTCGCATAGCAAGAAATATTTTTGGACATGCAAATTTTCCAAAAGAAACGTTCAATTTCTAGTGTGCTTACTTAGCAATGGTTTGAGTATTGTTTGTGAATGGGCAGTCAGTTGTAATTAGCTGTCTTATGAAATGTCAACTTATGGAAAATCTTTAACCGAAATTAACTTGTCTGAATTTTGCTGTTTTTTGGTGACAACAATCAGTCAAATCAAGTAATTAATATTTATGCATATATATTCCACTATGAAAATTAATCAAACAGAAATAGATCACAGCATAGGTATGAACCAATTTCAAGCGCATAAAATCATAAGCATACATAAAATCAGGCAAAATATTTGTGTTTAATGCAATATGAGTTTGGTTTTTTTTGGTTTTACTTTCGCATTTTTGACAGTATGTAGTTCTTATATTTTTAATTTCTTGGACAAATGGACAAGTGAAAGCAGGTATAGGTGTGATATATGTATTTGTAAATGTTTGTATGTGTGTGTGCGTTTATATGACTCCACGAATGTCAGTTTACTTCGCATGCGTGTGTTTTGAATGATTATGATTTCTAGATTTCGTTTTCTTCTGCTGTTCTTTTCGTTTGTTTGTTCTGTTGCTGTCTGAGTTCAGTGTATTTTAATGGATAATGAGTAATTGATATGCGTTCGCATTCATTTTCATTTGATTACAGTTCTCTAAGTGTGATGGTGTTTTTTGTTTTTTTTGTTTTTGTATTTTGAAGATTTGTTGTCGTTTTTTTTTTTTTTGACTTTTGTTCTTTCTTTCAATTTTGGCTATCCCTAGTGGTAGTAGTAGAAGTACGAGTAGTAGTGGCAAGTTCTCTCGCTAACCGTCTTCTTGCTCTGCTCTGTACTGACGACAACTGCTGATGCTTCAAATTCGTTGGCGGCTCGAATTGATAGCGTTGACGTTCTCGCAATAATCGTTCCTGCTCTTGGCGCGCTTTTAGCTCGACGATATTACGTATGCGTGTCGAATTCCGTACTTGAAGTAGTCTGTGAATGAATAAATGGAAAAATATGTAGAAATAATTTGCATACGCATGTATTTTTATATCAATATATATTTGTATAATATACTTATTTTTTAAGTTTTTGTGTTTTTTTCGATTTATGCTTATACTGAAGATATCATATCAAATAAAAACGTTTTTCATACAACGACTTGATTATGATCGATTAGATTGTATGGCATACGATATCCGATTTAAATAATTTCTTCGGACTCAGACTCAGCTCATCCTGCTTATCATTTATATATATATTTTACAGGGCCTTCGGTGCTACAAATTTCGATGCAAATAATATATTGTGTCCAGGGTATAAAAAAAATCTATATCTCTTTTCAAATCATTCTACCTATTTTTAAGTGACTCAGGTACGAAGTGTGGGTGTGTCTTTGCACAGCTACATGCTATCCTTAAGTATACATAAATATTGCTATTTAAACAAAAAGCTATCAAATACACATTATAGGCAATAACTTAAATTCTTAATATTAGCGCGCTTTTTTGTTTTTGGAAAAATGTGTATATGGTTTAAAATTCGTACACAATTTACTTACTTTCTGCGTCTCAAACGTTCGCGTTCACGAAAAAGTTGTGGTAATTTGGGTAGAAAATTTTCATCTAATATCTGATACAATTCACGCTCTTTGGCATTCGTTGAAGATTTAAACTTGCTAGCTAAATTTTGCCAATCCTCTTCGGTGAAACAAATTACTTGCCACACGGCACCTTTAACATTATCGCTTCCTTTGCCATTCAGTGATGTGGTCGTTGATTTACTACCGCCAATACCACCGTAACTATTCAGCGAAGATGCTGGCTTATCCTCGCGATATAATCGCGTGCCATAGAAATACCAATAGCCAGAATTTTTCGAATCGTATCCGAGCGGCTCAACACGCAAGCTATCCGCTTCCAAATTACTTAGTATTACTTGTACGTCGCAAGAGTCGAGGCGAAAGTGGCATAAATCGTGTAGTATTTGTAAACGTTTGCGCACCGGCAGTGACTGAAAATCAATGTCCGTATCAAAGTGGTTTTCGGTATTGTGTATGCGACACTGCTGGCGTAGAAAACGCCTCAAGAACATCTGATAATTGCTATGGGTTATTTCTTTTGCTACCGATTTGAGCGCATCGCATCCCTTTAATAAACGCACAATTAACTCGGGAACAAGCGCAATTTGATCCTCATCCGTACCATCCGACAACAGCGCCGACTCAAGATCCTGTAATATAATTTAGCGTTATAAAGTAATGTAACTTAAATATGCAATACAATCTACCTCGATATCGATGTCGGGCAAGTCAAAAGCAGAACTAAACAATGAACAAAAATGAGATATGCACGGTATCTCCCACCATGATTGTATGTCTGCAAGACGTAAAAGTTAATTTTAGTGATTCGAAAAGTTGCATTAAAGGAAAAGCATACACTCACCCAATAGCCCGATAAAAGTAGAAACCATTTATATGTACTTTCACGCTTTTTTAAATAATTAAATAGCTATTTTAACAATTCCTTGAGTTTTGTTCCTTTGCTAAAATTTTCTTGTTTGTTTGTTTGTTAAGCTGTTGTTACAATTATTGCTTCGGTTACTTAAATATTATCTGCTTTCGTATAACATCCTTATGTGAGTAAGTTCAAGGCATTTTGTTTGCTCATTAGAAAACCACTTTACGAAAACAAACTAGCTATATATATGGTAAATATGCTATGTATGTACATGTAACACCTGCAAGGAGAATGTTGTCACTTGCAAATTGCTTATTTGTCATATCCACACTATGTTTAAATAAAATAAATTCGTTTCATGCATAACTCGAAGTAATTAATAAGACTTAACTCATAATTAAATTGTAAATTCAGTGCATACAAAGTTGACATTAACGTATTTCCGTTTCTAGTATGAGAATGTTTACTTAAAACGGGCAAATTTAATTTTATATATGAAATAAATCAAATTTATGATTATTATTGTATATAACAAAAATTTTATGAGCAATTTCTTAGCGTTCAGAAATATTTTTAATGAATATTTGTCAATTTTAAATACAAGGTTATTGCACCGCAAAGCTAATCGACAGCTCAGCATGGCGGGGAAACAAGCGCCAAAATTGACATGAAGCTCCACAACTGGTAACCAAAGGCCCATACATATGTACATACATACGTGTGTATGTATGTACATAGTTTATATAGAAGCTAAGTGTGTTGAGGAATAAAAAAAAGAAATTAGCATCGAATTACCGGTAACTCAGGTAGGTGACTAGAAGAAAGAAAAAGTAAGTATAAACATGCATATTCATATACACATACATATGTATGTACATACACATGTAGCATTGTGATAAGTAACAAGAACAAAAAAATATAGCGAACCCAAAATATAACCATTTACATCAATTTCATAGCACAACTTCAGTACCATTCTTAAACATAAAACTAATAATTTTAAATTTAAGGTTTTCATAAATAATGATATATCCTTTGCAGTTTCTTTTCAATGAAAATTTCTCAACAACGACAATATAATATTGTAATAGCCATAAAGAATTAAAAACACATGTGCTCAAGCTCGAAAACATGAATTTTTCAAAAAGGCATCTGTTTATCACAGATTTTTGAACGATATGAGAATGTACTATATTTTATAGAAAGTGAAACGCAGTTAAAGTAAAATATTATTTCGACGAAAATTACCAAATCAATAAATATATTCATATATGTATGTACATACATATGTAGGTATATACTTATTTAGAACTCTTTGCATGTAACTTTTGCTAGTGTAATTTGTAGTTATAGTGGAGATTAGTCGATCAATCTCGCTAAGGCCAATCTAAACAGGTGCAAAAAAAAAAAAAATTATATACAAGCACAACCTTCTGGGTGTTACTATTTAATTTCAACGCTCAACACTATGCATTGCTGAAGCGAATTAGACTGCCGGAATTCAGTTGCCACCTTTTCATTAATCAGCCATGCAATATTTTCCATTTGCCATTGCAGTTTATTCTAAACTCTCAACTTCATTACATATATACTAGTCTATACATGTGATGTGTAGGTAAAAAGTTTGGCGCGCACATTGCACTAAAAGTCAAGCACCTCAATAAGCCACCCAACCAAAATCATTTCCTTTGCTGCACCAAAATGAAGCAATCGGAAATCAAAACAAAATACGATTAGAAGAAACAGAGAATCTACTTTCTTCGACGCCGACGTCAACACACTTTACGTTATTGTAGCCGACGACGACGCCGTTGTTGCCGCTTACAGCGCCGTAGTGATTTCCGATGTGTTGGATTGTTTTGATTTTGAAAATGCGGACACAATACCGCCAATAGAGACAGTTAATTATATTATGCTTCCTGATGCAAAAAAGAGTACATTGGAGACCGTACAGCGGCGAAAAGATACATCAGCTGTACTACTCATTAACTACATTTTTTATAAAAATAAAAATCAACAAACAGAGTGACATAGCGCTAGCTTGCAAAGCTTTATCAACAAAGGTGCGAAGGAAATGACTAATACCACCTGCGCAATTATATGTATGCTTTTCCGTTTCCTTTATGTCAGTGAGATTGCTGTCAAAACGTTTGCTTGCAGTAGAAAAAGGTATATATAGTGAAATTTGTATGTCCACAATTACTTTATAAATTCGCACAATACAGGATAGAAACTATGAAAATATAATATACATAGGTATAATAAACAAAGCGTATAATGCTACATTGTTAATATATTCCATTGATATTGAGCGTTTGTCTGTTTGGACTAGCTAAAGGCGCGCAATCAGAATTTATTTACTCAAGACACGCAGATCTGAATGAATGTAGAAATGTACATATGTACGTTCACGTAAGTGCCATATACATATGTATTAGCGGAGCAAAGCCGAATGATAGAGCTCTAGCGCACGAAGGGAGCCATTGGGAGTATTGTAGTGCGCAAATTGAGCGTTTTCATGAATATGCGTAAAAACCAACAACTACAATACGTTAAATACGCACCTCCCGCCCATTTATGAAATACATACATACTTATATTTTCTCGCTGTTTTGACACTTCTCTTTCTTTTAAGTATAATTTTATTTCATGCAATGAACTTAACTTTTGTTTTTTGTTAAAAAGCTTTAAAAATAAAATTAAAACATAAATTGTGTATATTTCTTTGCCTACCTCCTCCGCCGACACTTAGTGCAAACAGTTGTTGCACCACTTCGATTTTATCCTTTAAATTTAATTTTTATTTTTAATCGCAATTTTATTTTATCTAAAAATATACATTTATTACGTTTTATTTCACTAATCGTTTTCGTCTTCTACATTTTATATCATTGTTTCTTTATATTCTTTCTTGGTCAATAAATCATGTAGAAAGATTGTGAAAATTTTTTAGTTCCATCTTTACATTGGTTCGTATGTTTGTGTACGTGCTCATTCGTGTATGTGTGCTTGCGTACGTTGAGCTCTTTCTTTCGTTTCCGATTCTAATTTTTAACTATTTTCTTAATCTTTTTAACTTTTCACTATTTTAATCTTAAGACAAGAGGTATATAATGATATTCTACCAATAACACGATTTTAAGGCGTTTGCTTATATTATTTTCACTTGATACCTCTTTTAAATTTTCACTCCACAAATTTTTCACATTACACATACACACGGCAAAACACTTTCCTAACTTTTCCCACTTTTACCACAAAACAGCACTACCGAATACGTTCAACGCACGAAATAAACTGAACAAATTTTATTCCACTCTGCCTTACCACACGACAATCAAACGAAACAGGATGAACATAGAATAAATATAATATATCTACTTCCGTCGCACACCATCGAAAGAGATACCACCATATATTTTGAAATTCAAATGGGATTGTAAAAAGGGAATAACCATATACTCAAGGAGTTGAGTAGAATTTCAGTGTTAACATTTTTTAAGAAATGCTTAGAGGCCCGAATATAGTAAAAATACTTGAGTTTAATATATTTATTTTTTAATATATAAAAAAAAAATACTAAAATAAATAACAATAATTTGATAGAAATAATCGGATTAATTAAAGTTTTACCCAATTAAATTTCAGAATATTACATACACCTTCATTAAGTTCGGAGGCATAGTATAGGACGTCAATATTTGTTATGAATTAATACTTAAATAACATTTTCTAAATCACTAATTCAGAATATTTCAAATTAATTATTCTCTTGATTCATGTTGGAAAACATTTAATTTTGTTAAATTAATAGAAATAGAACGTCCTCGGATTTAAAGCTGGCAAAATTTGTGTATATATTATAAGCATGGTTATAAAGCCTTATCAGATTTTGAACAATTTATTCGGCATATTGAGGGAATTAAAAAATAAATATATATCTATCGAGGTAATGCGATTATGTGAGATAATATAGAATATTTTTTGGTACTAAGGGATTAACAAAAAAATTAACTATTAAAAGAAAATATTTAAAATCGCTTAAAAGTCAGTTCTCGAGAAATAAAGATCCTGTCAAAGCCAAAAATTCATGATTTTATTACACATATTATAAAATATATCATATAACTTTGCAATATACAGAATTTTTAATAATATTATTTAAAATATCTGTCGGAATTGTAAATATATACATATGTGTGTACATACATTTTATATATATCTTATGGATATGAACCGAACGACAACGTGCCAAGAGGAGATCGAACGAAACTAGTAATACATATTTAAAAATCAAAAATTTTAAATTAACACATAATTCGTTTTACTATGGATTTATCGAATAAATTAGATTATTGCTATGTCGATTTATCCTACTACATATATGTTATGTCGATATATTCTACTACAATGGACTTAATGATGGATGGATTAATCATCGGAGTCAATCATATGAAAAATTCTCCATCATTTGATTAATTAACCTCAGTTAAAACCGGTCAGTTTTGAATGTGGACTGAAAACTTTCCTATATAACATTATCATTTTGCCTACAAATTCATATACGAGTAACAATTGTACAATTACGATTTAATAATTTTTATTATATTCCCGTTTACGGTTTTGAGATGATTTAAAAATCCCAAGCAATTTTAAAATTGTGGAACAGAATCTTTCGTAAAACACGTTTCAAGACTTAATTTCTCGATCAATTTGCAAAGTTGTTTTAAAAAGTTAATTTCGTAACCATAGCTTTTTATTAGCCATTTTTTGTTTTAATTCCTGTTTACTATTAAAAAACACAATGTTAATTTTTATAAGTACTTTGCTGCTATTTTTGTCTGGCAGATGAATTCCTTATTTGAATAACTTGCGTTTCAGAACGCATTCAGCTGTCAGTTGACAGTGGGATTTCATGCCAATTCGTTCTCAAAACAATGCGAATGTCAAGCATAAAACGAAGCAAGCGAATAACAATCGGTTTTCGGAAAATTTTCTGCTGCGACCGTCGACGTTGGGTGATGACCAATTCATTCGCAACTGTCGCACTGTACGGACATAAAATACGAACACGGAAACGGATACGCGGACCAATACATTCAGAATACATAATTTTTTTCTTTCTCTCAAGAGAAAGAAAATACTTTAGAAATAACTTTCTTTCGGGACGGACGAAGCAACAAAACGAAAACATATTTCAATTAGAAAAACCAACAAGTTTTTCATAAAAGAAAAGTGAATTTATGTTTTGAATGCGTGAGTGAGAAGTATGTGGTGATTCAGTAAAAAGTAGACTTTGCAAAGTGCAGAATAGGTGTGAAAAAAGTAGAAGTGGCTGCAGTGGTAGAAGTTGCAAAAGAAGAAGCAAAAAATCGAATTGTGGCAAAACGAAGCGAGTGTAGTGTTAATGCAGCAGATAAAACATATGTATGTAAAAGTTAAAACGCAAACCAGTTTTATTTAAACGGACTGATTTTCAAGCCAAACTCAACTAAACAATTTAGTAAAAACAATAACAAACAATCCAACGAACCGGCCGACCAACTCCACTTGATGCGACACCATCATTCATTTCAAATGGTAAATGAAAGTGCAATTCTATTGAAGTGAAATTCGAATACTGAAAATTAAAATTAAAATACAAAGCAGAAAACGTACATACATATATATATGTAATTAGGTTATTATAGCTGTTAAGTTCAACTCCAATTAGAATTGAATGCATACAAACATACATATGTACAAATCTATAAAGTTGTACAAATCAGTATAGAGTTCGTAGGTGAAAAATGTAGGCATTACATAAACACAAATTTTAAGAATAATGACACATACACACACATCGTAAGCAGTTGCGCATTCATGCACGTATTATTATTACCACATATATTAACAATTAAGAATATCCAAAACTGTTCCCACAATTGTTATTGCAACAAAAAAAAATGAGTGAGTTGGTAAAGAGGCCTGTCCAAAAAGGTCATAATTATTAATAGGAAGCGCAGAGATTTTGTTAGCTGTGCTATTGTTGTGGTTTAGTCTGATGAAGAATGCACATGTCCACATAACAAAATTAATATAAGAGATGCGCAATTTTTCACATAAACAAGTGGTATGTATGTAGTAAGCCGGAAAGGGGTGCAAGGGGACATAGTTAATTGAACGAAGCAGGTACACACCGCAAGCATATTCAGATTTACGGTAGAATTGAATGCAGTGCTAACCACAGAACTGAAAGCGGATATGTTGGAGACAAACAAAGCTTAAGTTTGACATCAGAGTTTTATGCTCAAGGACAGTCAACACTTTCAAGCGCTGCTTATACATATTACGACACGTTTTTAAAGTCCGAAAAAAATGAAAGCGGAAGAAAATTTCAGATAGCAGGTGGTTCAGATAGCTTTATATTATTTTCATACCGCAAACAAGTGCATGTGATTGAGGAGCGGCTGACGCAACCACGAACGCTCAAGTTGCGACGTGTGCAATAATCGTGAGCTTGGTTTACAAACAAGGATTACAACACTTTATTGTGGGCACGATTTTTCTTTACTAAACGCCCACTTCTTAGGTTATGTCATTTGAAACGACAATTAAGTGAATAAACTTTCTTTGTAGAATGAGATGCAATTTGCTTGTAGTGCTTTAGAATGCAGAAAATTCAATATTTAAAGCTTGAAGCTGTAAACATGGCTGGAAGTTTTGTTTATACCTGATGTTTGTATTAGAATTGATATTTATGTATCTCCGAGGATGCGCTGAATATGTGCATTATTTTACTTATATAACATTAAAATTAAACTCCAAAGCCCCTTTCCGAACAACTTTAATATTGCTTTTACTTTTATTTGTAAAATATGGAGAAACGCTTTTGCTGAAAAATTCCAACAAGGGCAATTAATTTTAAAATTTTTGTGTATATATGCTTATAGTATGTACATATGTACGGTATCCTTTCAGGCAGCTATTAAATGTAATTCTATTTCAATTTGTATCCTTGGTTTATTACTGGGATGCTTGTTAGAAGCTTCTTGTTTGTCAAAACTACGGTATTGTTTATTTTTAATAAATTATATTTAAACTTTTACAACATTTTTAAGCCGTACATTTTTTTTATGAAAAAGAAATTTTATATTCCAAAATCATTATTTTTGTTTTTCCTCGAATGCCGCACAGACTTATCGCTAAAACAATTTTTATTTATGTATGGTATGCATACCTACAAAAAATATTGAAGAGTTGCTGATAACGCGGTTAACAAAATGGCCTTTAGTTCTGCGTTCTTTTATGAAACTAGGACTTTTAGTATAAGTTCATGTAGAGTGCTGTGATTTAAAGAGACTAGACTAGACATATACGGAATATAGGCTACAGGCAGTTTTTCTTAAGTAAAGTTGGTTTTTATTTTTTTTTTTCAAAGTTTTGTGCTGTTCATTTACTGCATTTAATTTTACCAACAAATTTACATTTAAAAATAATCCGGTTGAGCTCAATACTTTTTCTAGCTAGTTGCTAATTCGATTCACTACGTTTAATACTGCTAAAAGACATTAATGAAGTCGCTTGATCAAATCGCACCTTAATGTAAAATTCTTACAATAGCTTCCAAACTTGACATTTATTAGAAAATCTCAGAAGTGTATCACTATCTGGCCGAATTTGTTATCGAAAAATATGATGGTTTACATAAAGTTTAGTATATAGAAGGAAATTTTTAGTTGTGGTAATTATTGATACAGTAAATTTTGTATTCGTATATACATACATACTAAATATTAATATACATACATATGTAAAAAAAGTGGAATTAAGTATTAACACATATGTATTAGCACAGCAAAAACTGTGATTAAAAACATCAAGAAAAATTGAAAGCAGATGTTAATAACACACAGAGAAACTGATAAATAGAAGCACAAACAAAAGAGAAGGCAGACACAAGCCGGAGGAAAAACGAGTGCAAATGACGGCAAGTGGAACTAAGAAATAATTACAAAGATTTGTAGCGATTTTATTGCGTGCAAAAATAAAGAAATGCATATGTACATATGTATGTAAAATAAAGAGCATAAAAGTGGAAAGCAGTAGGTTGCCGGTGGTGCAGCCCAGCGCATGGCGTGTGTGGTAACTTCCGCAATGACGTTTGGAAAAATCAATATCAGCTGTCACTTGCACTGTTACTGTAAGCAGGAATTAATGGAAAAATGCAGTTCAGAGTAATCATTAAGTCACTTGCATGCCAAACAAATAAAGTCATGCACATGTTTCTATACATATTATTATCCTATATATAATATAATAGAAATGTATACATGCATATTTATGTATGTACATATATACATGTGTATGTATATGCAAATGCTCATGTTTGCATAGCTCGAAGATAAAAAAGTGAGTGAATTTAGCGTTAAAAAACAATAAAGTGCATCCCTGACATACATATGTATGAGCGATTTTATATATGTATATATGTACATATGTATGTATATGTTTAATAGAATGATATCACTGCATGCACATACATACATATGTACATTTGTAGCTTACTGCAGCCAAATAGCACAAGAGTTTGATATACTTATAAATACACAAAAATAGGTTTATGAGCTGCTAAAACAAATTAACAACAAATTCACAGATACATATGTATATACAGACGTAGTATATATATGCATATTCGTAAATAATGCACAGCTTTGGTAAAAAGTAGTAAACCCCATTGCAATTGTGCAAAAACGCTGAAATAGCGAAAACTCTCAGCCAATATGAAAAAAACAATGCTTGCACTTCACTTCTTTCCATTCTATTTGTTTTATTTCTTTTCTCTTTTGTATTTGTTTGTATATTTTGTCAAGTCTGCTAAACAATTTTGCACATACAACAATAAGTAAAATAAGTTAAAACACACAAAAATACTTAATGTCTGGTCTACTCACATCACGACGCGAAATGCACAATTAAACGTTAATACTAGATGCAAACTGGCAGCAAGGAAAGGGGAAGAGATGAAATGATAATGGAGTCAAGTTGTTGGCGCCGCAAAGTGGTGCCAGTAAAAGTAATTTTGCACGAACAATGGCAGAATGAAACAGTTACAAGACAAATGTATATACATACATACATATGTTAAATAAAAAAGATAAAAATCGAGTTTGTAATTTAAGATGCAATGCCCTTCGCAAAGCCAACTCGAAGAATTAACGTACATTTTAAAATAGTTACATTGAGGTAAAAGTGATAAGATATACAAGTATGTATATGAGTATTTTGTCTAACTAATGTTATTTGAAAGCACGTAGAAGTAAGTAAGGAAGAGCTAAGTTCAGGTGCAATACTATATTCTCTCGCAATTCGAAAACAAATATGAAAACAAAGGTGTTGAAATATATCCAAGTGTCAGAAATACGCTATAATAGGCCAATAATAAAGGTCTAAGTTCGGCTGTTAAATTCAACGTTACTGATGTTTTTTGTTATACATTTACTGCATTTTTAGAAGTTTTCAATATGAGGGTTAAGTATGGTTATTATCAGAGTTTTCTTATAAGAAATAATGTTGTATAAGAGTTATTAGAATGGGTTATGGCCACTCAAAAAGTATTATCTAATAATATTGAGTGTACATATACAAATTGTTGTTGCATATTTCCAAATTCTTGTATCGATTAAATTACAATTTTTGGGAAATGCTATTTCTATAAAAAGAAAAAAAATCGAAGTTATCGATTCAGCTGCACTGAAGTTTTAACTCTATATATGATACATACTGGTCCGATTTTCAAATTTCTTGAAAGTATCTTGACAAATAATTTCCATATAAGAACTTGATTTTGATCGGTAAGTTTGTATGACAGCTATATGCTATGATGGTTCGATCCAAACAATTTCTTCAAAGATTGTAGCCTTGACTTTGATAATAATTCGTACCGAATTTCGTGAAGATGTCTTGTCAAATAAAAAAGTCTTACAAAAACTTGATTTAATGGGACAATTTAAAATACAATTATATATGTATTGTATACATGTGAATGTGAATATTACAAAAAATGTGAAGGAAGAAGGCTTTACAAAAAAGGTATTTCGGTTATAAAAAAACGAAGAATAACACCTAACATGTGTTACTTTTTTATATTTGTCATATATTTTAATTTTAAAAAATTGAGAAAAACAAGAATATTATCGAGATTATTTTATAAAGCTTTTGCAAATAATAATTAATTTTATAAATAATATTACAACTAAATTTTATTATTTCTTTCGAAGTTAATAACAAAGCGCCGCCAGATTGGCAATTTCTCCCACTGTGGGTCATTATTATTGTGCAAAGTAAGACCATAGCTCAATTTGCAATAAGAACACTGCAATTCATTTATTATATTTCCATTGGGTTAAACATTTTGCACTTTTACTCTGCATAAAAAGAGTAAAAATAAAACATTATCGAAAGCTGATATACATAGGTACTTAAATATGTATGTGTTGTTATACGAGTATATACTCGTATGCATAAGTATGTGTGCACAATATATTTGTTTACGTTTTGTTTTTTGTTTTTGTTCTTTGTATAATTGTTTATGGCAA